GAAGCAGGGAGGTAGCAGGTGGGATGAAAATAATTATGAGACTTGAAAAAATCCAATAAATAGAATCAATCGGCCATAGAGATTAACTGGATAAATGAATGACGAAATTGAGGGGTCAAAAATGATTCCCAGATGGGGCCGGCCTGGTGGCGCACTGCTACAGTGCGCCGCTTGAGAGCGTGGCGGCGCTCCCGCCGAGGGTTCGGATCCCACATACAGACCGGTTCACGCTCACTGGCTGAGCGAGGTGCGGGCGCAACACCGAGGGTTGCGATCCCGTTGCCAGTCAGGTCCAGTACGGGCGTGACACTGAGGGTTGCGATCCGTTGCCGGACACGAAAAAAGACAAAAAGGAAAAAAAAAATGATTCCCAGATATGTACCTTGTGTGGGAAGTTTAATGTTGGTGACAAACTATGAGACAGGGTTTTCTAAAGGGGAAGCAAGTTTTACTTTTAATTTTGCCCATATTGATTTTAAGGAACCTGTGAAGATATTCACTTGGAGAGTAGAAAACACATTGCATGTATGCGTTCTCTGCTCAGGAAAAATTTAGATATTTTTAATGTAAGGTGATACATGAAGTCATGAGAAGGAGATGAGATCACTGAGACATATTTGTAGAGTAAGAAGAGAAGCAGTTCAATGGCAAAAACTGAGAAACATCAACATTTATTATCAGAGAGAAGAGACTGCATATGAACTGAAAAAGAGTAACCAGAGGGGTAAAAGGAAAACCAGAGTGTTGGGGTGTCATGGATGTTGAAGGAAGATAGTGTGTAAGAAGGGAGCCATCAAGTGTAACAGATACTGCCGTCTAACATCCTCCTTTGTTCTCAGTAGTTCTCTATTTCATTACTCTGCTTTAGTTTCTTCATACAATTTATTACTACTGAAATCGTATTATATATTTTTCTTACTAGGATACATAATATTGTCTTCTTAACCCCTAAAATAAAAGGGACCTGTATTCCTAGTGCCCAGAGAGGGTTTGGCACATGGTAAATGTTTAATAAGTGTTATGTGAATGACATATATTCAATAAATATAAGGAATTAAGGAGGAATTAAAAGTGTATATTTCAGGGCCGGCCTGTGGCTCACTCGGTAGAGTGCGGTGCTGATAACACCAAGGCCACGG